AACAATGGGACCCATGGAGATAGAAAATGCAGCAGGAGAAGCCAGCATGAAAGAGGCTTGGACATCACTTACTTCTATCATCTGCATCTTGTCTGAAATCATTAATGTACCAAACCTACCATGTGTTGTATGGGAAATAACAAGTAGATCTGCATCTCATAGGCTTTACCAAGCAAAGTAGGTACAGTACATTCCTTAGCAGATCCTCACAGTACTATGAACCTGATATGTAACCATGCTAAAATCCTGTCTCATGGAAACTGTAGAGAACAGGCTGTTCTTATGTTCTGTGTTTGTACCTCAGCTTGCAAAGAACCAGGAGGAAGATGGGTGGGTCTCCAGGCTGTTAGGGGAACACCCATAATGAGAATCTTACATCCTTGAGTTAAGCTGGTTGGGGAGGTGGCAGTGAGTCAAGAATCATACTCCACATTTTTCTTAATGGTGCAGGAAGGAAAGGAATGCCTAATGCAAGGGAATTTATGATGAACTAAGCTGGGAGGAGTGGCTGACACACCAGAAGGCTGTGCTGCCATTCAGAGAGACTTAGATAGGTTGGAGAGTTGGGCGGGGAGAAACATGATGAAATTCAACAAGGGGAAGTGTAGAGTTTTGCATTTGGGGAAGAACAACACCATGTCCCAGTACAGGTTGGGGGCTGAACTGCTGGAGAGTAGTGTAGGTGAAAGAGACCTGGGGGTCCTGGTAGACAGGAGGATGACCATGAGCCAGCAATGTGCCCTTGTGGCCAAGAAGGCCAATGGCATTCTGGGGTGCATTAGAAAGGGTGTGGTTAGTAGGTCAAGAGAGGTTCTCCTCCCCCTCTATTCTGCCTTGGTGAGGCCACATCTGGAGTATTGTGTCCAGTTCTGGGCCCCTCAGTTCAAGAAGGACAGGGAACTGCTTGAAAGAGTCCAGCACAGAGCTACGAAGATGATTAAGGGAGTGGAACATCTCCCTGCTGAGGAAAGGCTGAGGGAGCTGGGTCTCTTTAGCTTGGAGGAGACTGAGGGGTGACCTCATCAATGTTTACAAATCTGTAAGGGGTGAGTGTCAGGGGGACGGAGTTAGGCTTTTCTCAGTGATGACCAGTGATAGGACAAGGGGGAATGGGTGCAAATTGGAGCATAGGAGGGGGAAGGTGAATATCCGAAAAAAAAATTTTACTGTAAGAGTGACAGAGCACTGGAACAGGCTGCCCAGGGAGGTTGTGGAGTCTCCCTCACTGGAGACATTCAAAACCCACCTGGATGAGTTCCTGTGTGATGTACTCTAGGTGACCCTGCTCTGGCAGGGGGGTTGGACTAGATGATCTCTCGAGGTCCCTTCCAGCCCCTAAGATTCTATGATTCTATGATTCTATGAAGGGGAATTACTGTGGCAGAGCTGAGGCCACAGCTAGAGACTGTGAGAGTCTGCCTAAGCCTGTGGGTGGGTGTGCAGCACCTGAGCTGGTTAGAAGACATTTTGATCTGCAAGTAACAACTACACCTCTCATGGCAGTGTTGATACAGTCTTGGTTTTAAAGAAGGCTGTTTTTCTCTCATATTGATCCCTTCAGCCTCCTGTCATGCTTTTCTAAGCTCATTCCCTTCTTTCTTTGTTTTCAGGAAAAGCCCTTCTCACTTAAAAAATTATCACCTATAGAGCCATCCTCAGTTCTTCCTGGTTTCCCAAGCACAAAGCCATTGTTCCATCGCAGGGAGGTCTCTGATTCTTTGCCCTCTGTGGCATACACCTGCTTTCTATCTCTGACATTTTGTAGTTTATCCATTCCTTTTTTTTTTTTTCTATCTGATTCTCTTTATTCTGGAATTGAAGTGGAAAGTAATAAAAGCAGGACAGCTGTCTCTGTTCTTCCTGACTGGTTTAATGGGTCTGTGATTTCATCTTATAGCTGTTAGCACTTGAGTTTCCTTCCAGCTCTCCCCTGCCTCTCACCTGCATGTTGCACAGCACAAGCCTGTGTGCAGTGAGTGTGCATATTGTTCAAAGGTGCTACATAATGAGGAATATGAGGAATATTGTCCACATAATGAATAATCTCTGGGCATCTATGAAAAGTTCTTTTCTACTATGATAATGCTTAAAAAAACCCACAAACAAATTAGGCGGGTCCTGCTGCAAGTATGTCATATGAACAGTTTTTCTCTCTACTGTGAAGAGTTTTCTCTTGGAAAAAAGCCTGTTAGTTTCTTTTCCCAATGCTTGTGGAAAGCATGGTCATTATGTAACATTTCATAGAGTCACAGAATCATAGAATTATCTTTGAGTTGGAAGGGACCTTAAAGATCAAATAGGTCCAACCCCACTGCGTAAGCAGGGAAACCTCCCACTAGATCAGGTTGCTCAGAGCGCCATCCAGCCTGGCCTTGAACACTTCCAGGGATGGGGCTTCTGCAACTTCCCTGGGCAACCTGTTCCAGTGTCTCACTACCCTCACATTAACAAATTTCCGCCTAATGTCTAACTTGAATTTACCCTTTTCCAGTTTTGAATCTTTGTCCTCTTACTACAAGCCCTTGTAAAAAGCCCCATCCCAGCTTCCCTGCAGGCCCCTTAAGGTACTGGAAGGCTGCTGTAAGGTCTCCCTGGAGCCTCCTTCAGGCTGAACAGCTCCAACTCTCACAGACCTCTTCTCACAAGAGAGGTGCTCCAGCCTTCAAATCGTCTTAGTGGCCTTTCTCTGGACTTTCTCCATGAGCTCCATGTCCTTGTTATGTTGGGGGCTCCAGAACTGGACACAGTACTGCAGGTGGGTTCTCACAAAAGCTGAGTAAAGGGGGAAAATCACCTCCCTGGCACTGTTGGCCATGTTATGTTTGATACAGCCCAGGACACAGTTGGCTTTCTGGGCTGCAAGGGCACATTGATGGCTCATGTTGAGCTTCTTGTCCACCATCACCCCCAGATCGTTCTCCTCCAGACTGTTTTCTATCCATTCTCCACCCAGCCTGTATTTGCACTTGGGATTTCCCTGACCCTTGAGCAGGACCTTGTACTCGGCCTTGTTGAAATTCATGCAGTTTTCACTGGCCTACCTCTCAAGCCTGTCAAGGTCCCTCTGGATGGCATCTCTTCCCTCCAGCATGTCGACCTCACCTCACACTTTGATGTCATCAGCAAACTTGCTGAGGGTGCACTCAATGCCAGTGTCCATGTTGCTGACAAAGATGATAAACAGACCAGTGTGAGTACCAGCCCTTGGGGAACACCACTTGTCACATGTCTCCTTTTGCTAGGATCTGCTTCCCTTTGGTGGACAATGCTGCTCCTTCATTACGTAGGAAAACGCTCATGTGTGAAACAGGAAAGAAAAAAGTTGGAACTTGGGCTTTGGTTCGGCAGGATTTTTGGTAGTGGGGGAGAGGCCCCAGGGCTCCTCCACTGGTCTCCAGTCAGAAGCTGAGAAGCTCCCCCTGCTCCAAACCCAGCCAAGGAGCCATTAGAGGGACAATAGATGCCCTCAGTGATTAACATATGAAAGAACTGAAATAAGAGCTGAGCAGAGCGAACACATAAAGGAAAGAAGAAGAGCTGTGCTGGGGAGAACCAGACTGGTGCTGGTGGTTGGTGAGGAAGAAGGGGAAGAAGGTGCCCAAGCAGAAGTTCACCTGCAACCCATGGCGACATGGCAGCTGTGCCCTTGCACTCATGGAGGAATGTGATGGAACATTCCCTGAGGGCACTGGAAGGGGTGAACTTGGCCAGTGGGCTTGGATTTTGTGGCCAGAGGATTTTTTGCCAGTGGACTCTGATTATGCAGCTTTGGAAGACCCTGGTG